CGGACACGCACATCACACACAACCCGGTATGTTATAATACTTTAAATATTTTGTGATTACTTTTCTTTTGCTTGTATTACGATATATTGCGTAATAATTCTTTAAAATTATTCCATTTCCTATGTCATTATCCAGAATCACGATATGAAAATTAAAATTGATTTTGCAGATTTAAGGCATCTAGACGCAGCCTCCAAATTTAATGGAAGAAGCCTGAAGGTTAAACAAATAAAATCTAATGGGTAGAACAAATCAGTATACGCAGGGCAGCAAGTGCAACAGATTTTAAATTTTAATTGATAGACCTGACGATGATGGGATGAACATCGAAACATGTCGTCATTTTAAAATGTAACAATATCAAATGAAGAAATGTTATAATTTTATGTGATTTTAACAATCTATAAGCTTGTGTAAAGACGGTGAATAAAATTATTATATTACATGTAAATGTCACATGACTGCCATGCCATTGAAAGATTCATGTATTGGGCACATAAGCTGTTAGAAAATTGTAAAAAATGTCTTGTAAATATAATACTGAGTTCCTAACCTTGACATTTAAGAATCTAATGATGTGGGAACAATATTTTGTTTTTGTTAAAAATTATGAACATGGCACCACTGTGGAATTAGCATTCCTATCATAATACACTCACATTACAAATCTGTATCAACTGTAACTGCAACTTCAGTTATGGATTACAGATTTGTACTACAGTTCACATCAAACAATCTAAAAAACACAACTCCACATTACTTGAACATCAGGTGGTATAACCACCCACATGGTAAAATCTATTCTTACATCAAGAACTGCAACAATCTATCACACACTCCCATGACCATGGTTGTAAGATCACACAGTGAAGATAACTATACAAGTTGTGAAACAGAGCGACTTGCAACAAATTTAAACAGTGACAGACTACAGGCGGTACAAGAATGCAGTGATTCAGAAACACTTACGGGTTACAGCTACTTAAAGATGTTGTGAGATACAGAAAAGCAAAAAATTCATGACAGTAATGCAGTTAGTTTTTGTCCTGCACTTCTTTCAAATCATGATTGCACTAATAAGTCTTCCAGCATCTTGGTAAACAGACAATACTGGTACAATCTGCGGGCTCAAAGCATTAAAGGAAAGGTAACGCCATATTATTCTGAAGATGCTACTTACCATACATTTTCTTAAAGATGCAGACGGCCACATCTTCGGGCGTAAAACTGCACAGCTTGTCCCCCCTCTTTATCTCATATCTCACAGATCCTTCTTCATGCTTCACCTTACATGCACTTGCATTCACCATCTCCTCAAGTTCAGTCTCTTCTATTTTCTCATTCAGTAGCTTCTTGTTGTGTATTACAGTTGAGGGTCCATTCCTTGCAAGGCCAGACTTTGCAGCCAACCCAACAATCTGCAAATTACACAATTAGGACATCTGAAACATTGCCATGCTCATATAACTGTCCTGTACTATTTTTAGAAACTTAAAGATCATGATACATAACACCACAATTTTACCTCCTATTTAAAATGAGTCTGAAACTTAGTTCCTCATTCTGATAGGAGAAAAGCAGTTGAGCATGTCTGAGAAAAAATTCTGAACAATATATTACACAAAAAGAATGATCATAGAAAAGAGCATTAAAGCAAAACTTAGAAAAGGGACAAAACTAAAATGTTATAAAGTGGCATTTATGACACTGGACATGAAACCTGAGTACATAAGAACAAAAATGTTAGTAGAATTCAAAAATTACATCCTTATGAATATTCAAAGGATGTACCATCAAGAGCAACAACAACAATAAAGACAGGTGGAAGAAACTAAATACTTATTCACTACATGGAACATCGCAAAGGAAGAACATTAACTACCTGAACATAATTAACAATAAACAAACTCCCAACATTTTATCTTTAATACAAACCAAAATGATGTAGAAATTTAGTAACACCATTTTAAAGATGGCATTAAGTTCAAACTTGCTTCAGCCAAATCATCAGAGGATAAAGATTTATGTAGGTCCACATACACTTTTCACACTTCAGAACATGAATTTTCTGGGCTCCTTATGCACAGGGGAAGGTTGAAGCCTGACGGACAATTGCTTCCTGTGGCTGCATTTTACCATAATACTGGTACATCAAATTCTGTGCAGAGCAGCACAAACATCAGACTTACCATTTCTGATTCATTAAATGCCACCACTGCAGGCGTCACTCGGTCTCCAGAATCATTTGCAATCACCTCAATTTTAGAATCCTACACAGAAAATAATAAAAATTTTAGAAGGTTTAATTATTATTAGTACATTCAAACCACTTCAGTTCACCAGGAAGATATGTTTGTAAACTTCATAAATGCTGGACTGAAGCTGGTACAGGCTGTCTTTCAAAGGCAGTAGAATATTTTAGTATCACATACAATTATCTCAGAACACCCTCTTGGTGAGAAGTTGCACAGATCAAATACCAGGGTTGGCTGTCCTGATATAATATTTTACAGCTTCACAAAACTATACATCACAATGACCAAGCAGCTAAACCTCTTTAGCATGCACCCACATGATGTAACTATCATACTTGTCTTATATTTTTGTTCAACATTCACCAGATCCATTATAAATTAAATGTAAAGAACAGTACTTTGAAGTAAACTACAGTGACATAACGTAATCCAACTTACCACAAAATTAAAGTGTACTGAAGAAATACAAAACTACTAATACATCAACGAACAAGAAAATAACATGTTTATTTGAACTTCAAAACTACAAGTGCGGAAATAAACCTGCAGGTAAAAGATTTTTAATAACTGGTCTCATACTGTAAAAATCTATTGGTTTTCTTTAATCGCTCCAAGACAATGTTGAAAAAATAAGTAAGGCTGACTATTTCAAAACCATACTAAAATCACAACCATGGTAGATGTAAATCCCATGTCAAGAGATATGAGTTCTGTATTTTTTAAAACACAAAACTCTTTATGTGTTCTTTTCTGATTCAACTAGTGAATTATGTTTTAGCATTGTCCATCTTTGTACTACAAATTTCTGCATTTGCCTGCATACTAAACCAGTTCAAATCAATTAGCACATTAATATAGTTGACATTCATACACAGCGCATACTCAAGTCTTTCCAACCGATATACTTAATCTCCTGCAAAGAAACGTTTAACATTCTCTAAACATAAATACATTGTCACTCGGCACAGCAGAAAAATCTAGAAAGTGGCCACAATGGATAAATAAGTAAACTACGCCGCAAACCAACTAGGATACGAACAAAAATAATATTGAGGCTACCAATGATACAAAATATTTTATTAACCATAAACCTCGTACTGAATGTCGTGTGACACAACAAATATAACCTACAAATAGACAAGAACAATTTTGTCCCATCTGAACTGACACAACAACTTCAAAAATACTCCAAAGTATTATTTAATCCATTATTAATTACTCCCACTAATACATTACGTCATTAAACAAATAAAAACCTTAAATAATGCCAGGCATGCTGACGTGTTCCCAATGTGAATTCCAAATACAGCCGCCATTTTTTGTGGTCACTGGACACTTCTATCAAGAAAAATTGCATAAACAAGACATTTGACCGGGAAAACACCAACCACCAGAGAGTATGGCATTAGGTCGGCAGGTGCATTTTCGTAATTCTTGTCATTATGAAACTAAATAATGCCTGCCTTTAAAATAACACAGCTTCTATTTTTAAGCCCCACATTAAAAACTGCAATAATGGCAGCCTTTGGTGTCTAAACCTGTTAATTAGTTCCGAACTTAAATACTCTTATAATTGCAGTTCGTTACAGAAGTGTCAAATTCTTGCAAACATAATATACACACACGACATAACAAGATCTCTGTATGCTAATCTTACTAGGTATCATAAAGATACTTCAGTGCTCTTCCATCTAGCAATCAAAGCTTAAGTCATGCCAATCAATTCAAGCCAGCATTGAAAGAATCTCTCTTATCTCACTCCATCCATTCTGTACAATAATTTTCTTCAATTGGAAATCATTAAATATTGTAATTATGTAAAGAGCTGTAACAACTACATACATATATTTGAATTTATATTTTATTTGTAGTAAGTGTTGGTATTCATATTATGACATGTTTCACACATTTGGCTTGAATTATGACGTCTCATAGTCACTGATGACATACAGTATAACCTGTGTGAAACAGAACATGGATTAAACAGAAATTTGCTTTTATTGGAGAATTTGTCTGGTCCTATGAGTATGCAGTAAAAACCAATATCAAGTTACATATTATGAATACAAAGCAATTAATACACAAGTCATAATGGGGAATTAATGTACAATGGAAAATATTTGCCTATGATATTGTTTCTGTTCATGTAATTTTATTATGTACTGTTTTATAAAATCATTTGAGAATGTCCATTCATCACAAACTGAAAAGCATTAAGCACAACAATCTGCAAAATGTGCATAATACTTAATTCACTAAAAGAAATGAAACTTATGTACTTCTCAGTAAGTGTAGAGTACATAATTTCTGACATGTAATATACATCGCACAAAAGACATTCAATATGTACTGTGCTACAGTACCTGTTAAATGCAAATCTCTTTGAAAGATGAATACTTAAGTCCCTTAGA